GGCTGGAAATAAACTTGCAAAATAAACCGTTGGATCGATCAACGTGAAAAATCTCCGCACAGGGGCTAGTAATAATAAACGGAGGAACGGTATAAATTCCATTGAATTATCGTCGAAACGAACCGGGGAAAGGAAATTCATGGAAAAACCGTGGACAAGGTGAATCGCGCGTGAATAATTTCGTCATTGGCGTTACTTTCGACGGTCGATCCGCATTAAAATAATTACGCGGCCTCGTGGCATGAACGTCGTTCTTTCATTCCTTTTCTTCCCTTTCTCTTCGCGGTCGCTGATTTATATTTCGCTGGGAAACCAATTTCGAGTTCTCGCGCTCTCTCTGATTTCTCTGTTTTCTTCCTTTTTCGTCCCTTCTCTTCGACTTCTTTTTTCTTATTTAATACATATTTATGGCAGCGCAACCAGGTGAAACTCGGGCGTCCCTTGCAGCTCTCTCACCTGTGGAGGGGCGAAGGTGGAGCTCGAGGCGATCGCTTTGAAATTCACGGCGAGCCAGTCTGACGTGCAAATTGACACTCCGATTGGATTAAATAACATAACTTGTCCGGGCGGGGCGTACGCGAACGGCTCGTAAATTACCCTCCGTTTCGTTCGATTATCGGAAAACACGCGACGCGCTGAAAAGGAGAACGGGTTTAATGAGCGTGCGAGCGCGCGAGCGAGAGCTCGTACGCGTTGAAAAATTAAACGCGAATTAATTGCCGTGCACCTGGCTGAGAGAGAAAGAGAGAGAGAGAGAGAGAGAGAGGATTGCTCGCTCCACGGCGATTTAAACGAAAGCTTTCGAAGGCGCGCCAACCTTCCGGTTTCGATCCCTCTCTCTCGTCGATTACTTTGGAAATACATCGACCGGTTGATCGAGGAAAATTGCCGAGAATATTCCGACGAAGTATTGTGTGTCGATGGATTTACATGTGCGTTGTTGTTTCTCTTGAAAGATTAGAAAATTTTTTACGAAAATCAGAGGATTAGTGATTTGAAATTTGGTTTTAGTGTCTCTTACGATTTTTGAGATAAAGGTGCGTTGCTTTTGGGAAATATTAGGACACACAGTACTATTTAAATTACATTTCCTCGCCAAACTTAGAATTCAGTGGATTTTCAGATTTCAATATGCTTCGCATCGTAAATAGAAGTGCACGTAAATTTAGCAAATTCAACATTTGCAAGATTACCCCTTGTCGTCTTTCCTTGACGCTGTTATTCGATCCACCATGTACAAAACACCAAGGCTAATTCTTTCTTAGCTTCCCTCGGGCCTTTCCAAATCTCTTCGAGACGAATGCAAGTGTATCCACTTCTTTCCTTTAAATCGTGCAACCCGTGTCTCGAATTATCCCCCGGATAATATCTCAAAAAACTCTTATTCGTCTCGACGGAATTGCTTTTCTTCGTAGCAGCTCTGCGAAATCAGTATCCGCAAGAAAATGTAACATTAAGCGATGCAACTTTCAAACCTCGCAATTTTCCCTCCATCGACACTCTATAGTTTCCCCTTAACGACACACCGCGACAGAGGTATCAATTTTTAATCTGTTACACTTTTTATTACTCAATACTTCGACCCCACATTTAACGTTCCACATTTTCTCTCTCCTAAACGATTCGAATTTTTATCACTCGGGGCACTTATTTCCCGCCGTAAATAGAGGTAGCAATTTCGAAAATGCTAATATCCACGTCGACCCGACTTAAACTTCTAGCACGCAACATCAACTTTATTATCAAACCTTCGCCCGTTTTCTCCGTGAATTTTCACGCGAGAAATCCATCGTGCAGCCCTTATTCGATAAGCGGAGTCGTAAGCATCCCTCGTTCAACCCTTTCGCGGGAAACCTCAGGCCGTGTGTATATTAAAACGCGTCCCTATATTAAAATATGTCCGTTCGGTCCAGGGACGAGTGCCATAATTCCTGCGGGCGACGTCGCGTGGCTGAGAAAGCGCCCGGGCCGCCTGGAAAGCCGGAAGTGGAAGGCGCGTCGGTGGACACCTCGGCTCGCGGGATTCGACGCCGTTTAACGCGGAATTTCGAGCACGAACACGGCTACGCGAATGCTTCCGCTGTAAAACACTTGTCGGCTGTTTAACTTGCAATCGGATTTCACGTTGTTACCGTTCACCTCGGTTAATCCGTTAACTCGGCTCGTCTCTCGAACAGGAATTGAATCTGTCTAGTTTGTAATTAAAAATTCATTACTCCGGTTTGCTCCTTGTGAACCCGATGCATTCTGTATGCAACAGAGGTACAGCAGTGGGAATAAATAATTTCTTGGTAAATGAGTCGTTGCGTTCCAATTGTAAAATTAAACATGAATAATCTTCTGTAAATGAATTACCGTATTTTAAATATTGCAGAATTAATTTGTTTTAATCAGTTGACAGAATCATTTTCTGATTGTTCTTGCAGAGACTTTAGTAAAATCTGCCAAATATTTATCGTCATACACCGCCTTCGAAATTGACGGCTAAATCGACGACGAAATAGGAATTAATTTAAAAATCAGTTTTGCCAATGCCAACACGAGTGCCGGTAGTTATATTCGTCTAAAATAAGACGCGTTCTTCCCTTGTCTCTCGACTTTCGTCAGCTAGGCGATCCCTTTTATCGACCCTCGTTCTTCGACCCGCCTCTTCCCTTCTTTCTTCCTCCACCTTCTTATTATTTCCTCGTTTTTTCTTACAAGACTTCACCCTTTGCGTGCTTTTTCTTCTTGCACGCGCGCGATCTGCCCGAGCGATTAATTGATTAGCGCGGTAGGGCTGTCGCTCGAGAGGCTACGAGGGAAGCGTTTTTTCAAATATTTCTGGGGAAACGAGTGCAGGATATTTATGACGAGAGTGTAATTTCTTCGAGAGGGAATTTTTAAAAAAGGGAACGTTTTTTTCCAACGTGGCAAGTAAGTTCGAAAGGAAATGGTAGCTTCGGATAATTCTCCTGATAGAAGTTTCACGGCAGGTTGGAAATGATAGGGGGAATTGATTAGGTCAGGTGTATCGTCGAGAAACTCCGTTCAATTCTGTAGAAAATCTGTTGAAGAATTCATGGGAAAGGTTCCTTCCAGGAAGCTTGATTAGTCTGCGTGCCTCGATTCAGCACGTAGGTATTGAAGTATTCAATTGAGTGCTTCTTGCTTCTAAAATACTCAGAATCTCGTGGTCTAGTAACCTGCTGATCAATTAGTTAGTCTACTTAACCCTTTATCGGACTTAACAAGATTACGCGGAAGAAGCTGCCCTATATTGCACCTTCGCTATCGAAAAAGGATAGTTCCGAGTGCTGGCTGCCTCGTGCTAACGAATTTATATTAATACCACACCTATGTACTGCGAGAAGAAAATTAAAATGCAACGTAATATGATTCTTTCGGTGCGAAAGAAAATTGAAATTAACATTTGTACCGTAAAATGGAAGAATTATTGTTAAAAAATTATTCGTACTCCAATTTACCGTGTCAAATATATTGGAAAAAATTCTAATTCCAATCTACCTCCTTCGAATAACATGAATTTTAGACTGATATTATATTCACCATACACTGTACCCCCATGACCAAAGAAAGTAGAATTCATATCCCAATTTACTACATTGAAAAGTAAAACGAAGTTTGTTCCAGTATACCCAGCACACAATTCCACTCTTACTGCAAAAGAAACAAAATTCCAGCTCTATTCCCCTACTCAAACCATTTTACACTAATATTATGTAAAAAGAAGAGAATTCATATCCCAAATTTCTACGTTCAAAAATAAAACAAAATTCGTTCCAATATACCTAGCACACAATTCCACTCTTACTGCAAAAGAAACAAATTCCAGCTGTATTCCACCTTATTCAAACCATTTTACACTAATATTATGTAAAAAGAAGAGAATTCATATCCCAAATTTCTACGTTTAAAAATAAAACAAAATTCGTTCCAGTATACCTAGCACACAATTCCACTCTTACTGCAAAAGAAACAAAATTCCAGCTGTATTACACCTTATTCAAACAATTTTACACTAATATTATGTAAAAAGAAGAGAATTCATATCCCAAATTTCTAAGTTCAAAAATAAAACAAAATTCGTTCCAGCATACCCAGCACACAATTCCACTCTTACTGCAAAAGAAACAAATTCCAGCTGTATTCCACCTTATTCAAACCATTTTACACTAATATTATGTAAAAAGAAGAGAATTCATATCCCAAATTTCTAAGTTCAAAAATAAAACAAAATTCGTTCCAGCATACCCAGCACACAATTCCACTCTTACTGCA